TATAAACCAAGTCTTGTGTAAATTAGGTGGGACGCCCTGTTCGGCTATCTCCTTGGAGCCTGTTCGCTTCTACAGTATCTCCGCCATTCTACAATATCTCCTCCATTCCCAGAACAAGTCTCAGGAAAAAGCTCAGAGATGTAATCATAATGCAGACATTTTTATTAAAAACATAAATATAAGGAAACAAACTTAATGCACTCTCAGATTACATATTATAGTAATTCAAATGGTTGCACTATGATTACTTCTCTGGGCTTTTTCCTGAGACTTGTTCTGGGAATGGAGGAGATAGTGTAAGGTTGCATAAGTGGACAGGCTCCAAGGAGATAGCAGAACGGGGCGTCCCACCTAATTACACAAGACTTGGTCTTATGCTTGCTGGATACCCTGTTAACCAGTGTGATCTTGTGAGTGCATAACTTGACCACACATGTTGGTGGAACACAGTTGAAGTTACAAGAAGAGCTGATCAGTTCACTTTTCACTGGAAAACGGTGCTTGGAGACTTTACACTCATTGTTTGAATGACCTGATATAATCACCATCTATGTATATGTTGTTGTACTACATTTTCTATAATACCAGGTGGTACTGTGACACATTTGGTCAGAACCCACTTTTATTTATCCTGCATATATTTAAAGTGTGGCCTAGTTTTATTCTCTATTGTTATATCCATATATATCCACATATCCTCCACTCCTCCTACCACTCCATCCCCCACAGCCACTTCCTCCATACCACTATCCCCTCCCTCCTAGATTGTAAGCTCGAAAGAGCAGGGCCCTCGAACCCCTCGTATATTGTTTTGTTACTGTATTGTCTCATGTACTGTCCCCCACTATAATGTACAGTGCTGAGCAAACCTTTCTGGCGCTATATACTGTATAATAATAATAATATTGTGTATTTCATTGTTTGGAGAGGGCATTTTTACACCCATAAGTGTCTTAAATTATTTCTGCCCACGTAAAACATTCTTATCAGTCTTGTAAAACAAGATTGCTGGTAGGCTACAAATGAGGAGGATTATAGCAAAAACTTTTTATATATCCTGCCAAGTAAATCATGATGTTTTTTAGTTTGACATTATTTTTACATATCAGGAAGAATAACTTAAAGGCTAAGTTCACCTTTTATTTTTTTTTCTAAGTTCCAGCTCCACTATGTACCAATGATTTTTAGGACAAGGCCTTACCTTAGCCCTTGCTGAATTTCTTAGAAAGCTTTATCACTTGCTGGCATGTAGATTTAGGACAGAAAAAACAGTAATACACAGAGCGGATTGCATCAGCTGACCTCATTAGTACACACCTGTGGCTTCCTTCCTCCCTTCCAGCAGATCACTATGGCTGGCCATATACTATACAATTTCTGCCCAATTTTCTTTAGATTTTCCTTCAGCTATGTTGTGCAAGAGCCTGCCTAATTGTATACAATTGAAAGTGTTGTTTAGGTTTGACCTCATATTATATGGTTTTTGGTAAATCTAAAGCAAAATTCTCAAGAAAATTGTATAATGTATGGCCAGCCTATCACCCTTTTCCACAAGTGCAGTTTTCCAGTGCATTCAATCAGTGATCACTGTTCTCACTAGGCATCAATTTTTTTCTTAACCACTTGCCCTCCTGAGGATTTACCCCTCTTCCTGACCAGGCTATTTTTTGCGTTACGGCGCTGCGTTACTTTACCTGACGATTGCGCAGTCATGTAACGCTGCACCCAAATTAAATTTACGTCCTTTTTTTTCCGCGAATTGAACTTTCTTTCGGTGGTATTTGATTATCTGTGCATTTTTAAAAATGTTTTGCTATAAAAAAAATAGACCGAAACTTTTGAGAAAAAATACAATATTTTGACTTTTTGCTATTAAACAAGTCCAGTAAAAAAAATGTAAAAAATCAAATTTCGTCATAAATTTATCCAAAAATTTATTCTGCTACATGTCTTTGCTAAAAAAAAAATCCCAATATGTGTAAATTAATTGGTTTACGTGAAAGTTAAAACATTTACAAATGGCAGTATAGATACTGGAATTTATTTTTTTTTCACTAGATTTACCAGAACTATGGAATAGGAGGACACACCTGAGCAATCCAATCTGTATCAAATCAGACAGGCCCTTGTACTACATAGCTGTAGGGAGATTTAATGGAGATACAATCTGTACAATCAGATTGTATAGGAAGTTGATGGAAGGTAGTATTGTAATGAGGAAGGTGTGGTCCAAAGTGGTGAACACACCCCATCACACCCCCTCTTCAGTGATGCAAAAAGGAAGTGAGGGCTTCTGGGAGACGTCCTACAGAAGTGAATGCTCAGAGATGATCTACAGGAAGTGAGGGAATCTGAAAATCATTTCAAAAATTCAAATATACTGACAAGATTTTAAACCTCCTGTGGATAAGGTAAGTGAGAGAAAAGCACATTGGGATGGCTGGGCCAGAAATGGCATTGGAAAATGCTTCTTATTAGGAAAAGGTGAACTTATCGTTTAAAGCAGTGTTTTTCAACCTTTTTTCAGTCAAGGCACCTTTTAAAATTATGCACAATCTCAGGGCACCCCATTCTAAAATGGTACTAAACCCAAAACAGTAAAATCAGTCTGAATATGCAGTAAAGCATGCTTGTTATACTCACTGTGGAACCTAAGGGGTTAATCCTCTGCATTGTGTAAAAAGTCAGTTTGATCCGGACTTCTCTGCCCCTCCTCTTGCTTAAATGTCCACGTCTTATTTTCTGATAAGACAGACAGACCGTAACCATTCTGCACATGCTCACTTTTGTGTGTATTGCTAGAGAGTTTTTTTTTTTCTTGTGAGAGTGCATGTGATCAGCACAGGGCCAATCAGCACTGCCCAGACAGAGGTCAGGGGTTCTGCATCCTCCTAGAGAAAACTCCTCCTACAAGCTTTAACCAGCGCTCAGCTGAACACTGATAGAAGTCATAAGACTGCTCTAACTGCTGATGAGAAAAGGTATTTAGCAGTTTATATTTACTAAAATAATTGCATTTCCATGTTCTGTGTACTGTGGGAGACCAGATATAGTGAATGCAGGGTCCTGGGTTTAGTAACACTTTAACTAATAGTTTTATATAATGCAGCAACATCCACACATGTAGTACACCCAACATTAGAGGTGATGTATTCTTTCAAAGCAAATACACACCTTTTGTAAGGGATACCAAATTAAGGTATCCAGCACGGATGACCAGATCAGTTGGCTACACTTCAAGAAATCATGAACCAGATTGAGTATATTTAAATAAATTTTATTAACATAAATAACATCCTTAAACCATTAAAAATGTAAAATTGAAAAATAAAAGTGCAACAAACCCAGAACAACCACCTGATTAACAAACACCATGTACAAAATGCTGGGAGCTCACATGAACAGGGTAGGATCAAGACTGGGACTGAATACGAGGGGAGCAGAGCAGGATGCAGGGTACAGGATACAGGGAACAGGGTACTGGGAGCAGGTCACAGGATACAAGGCACATGATCAGACAGAGACACAGCTCACAGGTAGAACACTGATGCACTGATCTTCAGTCAAGGACTGGATTTCCTAGCGGCCAGACTCCTAAACTCAGCGGCCAGACTCATTTACCTCACCAAGCGCTCCACATCTGCCTCCCCCCTCTGCCAATCCCTTCATTGCTCCCCATTGCCCAACGCATCAAGTTCAAGCTGCTAACCCTGACCTACAAGGCCATTCACAATGCCGCCCCGAACTACATAACTGACCTGATACCCAGATACTACCCTACCCGTTCCCTCCACTCCTCACAGAACCTCCTGCTCTCTAGCTCCCTGGTCTCCTCCTCCCACGCCCGATTGCAGGACTTCTCCAGGACTTCCCCCATCCTCTGGAACTCCCTACCCCAATCCATCAGACTGTCACCTACCCTCCTCACCTTCAGGCGCACCCTGAAAACCCTCCTTTTCAAGGAAGCCTACCCCAACCTCACCTAACACCCGACCTCACCTAACAACTAACCTCCTCCACTCCACCCACCACTCCATCCCCCACAGCCATCTCCTCCTGTACCACCTTCCCCTCCCTCCTAGATTGTAAGCTCGAAAGAGCAGGGCCCTCGAACCCCTCGTGTAGTGTATTATTACTGTCTTGTCTCATGTTATGTCCCCCTTGCTACTGTACAGCTGAGCATACCCTTTGGCGCTATATAAATACTGTATAATAATAATAATAATTTCATACCTATCAGCAGCCAGTATCAGGTGCATCCTAATTACTAGGCTAAGCTGGCTGCTGGACGACATCCACTGGTGGCCACCAGAACTGCGCCCTTTGGCTCCAGGAACAACAGCTCCACCAGTAGGTGACCTAGATCCTGACACGAGTCCTGACACCTTTGCACATTGGTACTGACTAGTATTCCAATGTTACTCTTCTCCCTCAGCATCTCTTCCTCACTCAGCTAATGTGACCCCAGTGTTGACAGAGGGGCATGAGAAGGGCAAACACAGACGTTGTGCAGTCGCCCAATGTCCACCTTATCAACCGATGATGTCATTGGTTGTTAGAGTTCTGGCAACTAGAGAATTGCAATGGTGCACAATGAAAACCTTTAGTTTTGAGTAACAAAAAGGCAGGGTTGATCCACCTGCTGGTTTGTATACAATTTGTGGTCAATTTTAAGGCATTTTGTCAAGCACCCCAGATGAAACCTGAAGGCACCCCAGGGTGTCTGTGCACCCTGGTTGAAAAAGATTACTTTAACTTGTTGCCGACCGCAGATAGCCGAATGACGGCTGCACTGCGGCCGGCCAATTCTGAGTGGACGTCATATGACGTCCCCCCAGAACGCGCTCTCCTGCGCGCCCCAGGGGGCGCGCACCCGGCGATCTCCGTGATCGCTGTGTCCTACGGACACAGCTGATCACGTAATGTGGTAAAAGGCCAATCACAGCGGCCTTTTACCACCTGATCAGCGGTGTCCAATGACACGCTGATCAGAGGGAAATGCAAGTGCTGGTTCTCGGCTGCACTTTCCTCACGCTGTCAGATCGTGAGGAAAGTACTGCCGAGAACCGGCAGTTGTCAGAGCGGGGATCGGCACCGATCATCAGGGCACTGATGATCAGTGCCCTGATGATCGGTGCCCAGCAGTGCCACCCGCAAGTTCCGCCCACCTGTGCCCTGCAGTGCGCCCACTAGCTCCGCCCACCTGTGCCCAGCAGTGCACCAACCTGTGCCCAGCAGTGCACCCACCTGTGCCACTCTACAATTTCACACACCTGTGCCCAGCAGTGCCACCCACCTGTGCCCAGCAGTGCCACCCACCTGTGCCCACCCACCTGTGCCCACCAGTGCCACCCACCTGTGCCCACCAGTGCTGCCCACCAGTGCCACCCACCAGTGCAGCCCAGAAGTGCTGCCAGTCAGTGCCACCAGTCAGTGCCCAGCGGTTGTGCCAGTCAGTGCCGCCAGTCAGTGCCCAGCAGTGATGCCAGTCAGTGCCGTCTATCAGTACCCATCATTAGTGTCACCTATCAGTGCCGCCTATCAGTGCTGCATATTAGTGCCGCCTATCCGTGACACCTCATTAGTGCTGTCTATCAGTGCCGGCTATCCGTGCCACCTCATTAGTACTGCCTATCAGTGCCCTTTAGTGCTGCCTATCAGTGCCCATCAGTGCCGCCTATCAGTGCCCATCAGTGCTGCCTCATCAACGCACATCAGTGAAGGAGAAAAATTACCTGTTTGAAAAATTTTATAATAGAAACAAAGAAACTTTTTTTTTTTTTTTTCAAATTTTTGGCAATTTTTTATTTATAGCGCAAAAAGTAAAGCGCCCAGTGGCGATTAAATACCACCAAAAGAAAGCTCTATTTGTGAGAAAAAATGGGTACAATGTTGCATGACCGCGCAATTGTCAATCAAAGTGCGGCAGTGCTGAAAGCTGAAAATTGGCCTGGTAAATAAGGGGGTATAAGTGTCTGGTAGGCAAGTGGTTAAAGTGATTTTTGACAAGTAGCATCACTGAAGTATGTTCCTTAATAATGCAAAAAATACATTGCACTTTTCATCCTGTACCCAAAGACAGAAAGTCATATACTGTACTCCCAGGGCTAACCATGATGAAACATGGTTAACCCCTTGACACCGACGTCACACAAATATGCAGCCTCACAGAACTGGGCTTTTTTCCGTGGGGCAGCATATTTGCGTACTTGTCTTTGTGGTGGGAGCGCGCCGTTCGATGCGCTCCCAGCGCAAAGACCACGGTGTCACTGAGAGCCCGGGTCCCGTTCTAGCGGTCCCGATTCCAGGTCACATGATCGCTGTGATAGCCTCTGATTGGCTATCACAGTGATCAGTCACTGTACAGCCTGGCCCCATTCTATGAATGGAGAAGAGAGAAAAAACAAAAAACTAAAACAAATTACTCCATCCACCCAAGTGAGGTGGGTAGAGAAATCCTTTCCACTGAGATATTGTATTTTTACTACAGGGACTACTCCACTGTCAGAGTACATTGATTAGTACTGCAGCCAAATTGTTGAAAGCACTGATCGCATGAAAATTTTCCAACATTCCCTTTCCAGAGATGTTGATAGTAGATCGACTTCTCTTAATTTGGAATGGTCATAGATGGATTGAAATTCGTCTAGTCCGGACGAATTTAGATCAATGTATGGCCAGCTTCATAAGATGGAGAGATCGTTGATAAGATAACAGAGAAATAACATCACCCAAACCGGAATTTAACCCTAGATCCGAAGAATAAAAGTCACATGTTCTAACGATCCAACAAGACAAGTCTGAATATGGCAATTGCAAAAATTGGCATCTGGAGGACTACTAGTGGGGAGATTTGTGGCCAAAAAAGGCTTTGCATCTTCCTGTGTAGATGATGTTTGCATTTTTGACATGACACAACATGACCTTTTTTTCTATTTTATCTTTTTGTTCACATTCCCAGTAATCTTGAGATAAAACCCAAAAAAGGCACTATCTGTTCCCAAACAATATCAAGATTGGTTTGTTTGCCTGCAGATGCCCTTGGGTGCCTCCCCATTGCTAGGCAGCAGGTTGACTTTGTCTGCCTTTTCTCCTCTGCTCTGATTGGCCAGTGGTGCTGTGTGGTTTTCTTAAACATCAGCAAGAGCTCTTGGCTTGTGGCAGTTTCTTTCTACACTGTTACTGTGTTCTGTTACTGTGATACTCAGTTCTGACCTAGCTAGCCTGTCTTTGATTTACCCTATTGTCTGCAGCCTGCCCTGACCTCTGCCCATCCCAAGATTACACTACACTTTGCCACTTGCACTTTTCTCTGCCTGTCTCTGGATTATGTTATTGCCCGCTGCCTACCCTGACCTCTGCTTGCCCCTGGATTACACTATCATCCACTGCCTGCCTCAACCTCTGCCTGCCCCTGGATTACACTATCATCCACTCTGCCTGCCTTGACCTCTGCCTGCCCCTGGATTACACTATCATCCACTGCCTGCCTTGACCTCTGCCTGCCCCTGGATTACACTATTATCCACTGCCTGCCTTGACCTCTGCCTGCCACTGGATTACACTATCATCTACTCTGCCTGCCTTGACATCTGCCTGCCCCTGGATTACACTATCATCCACTGCCTGCCTTGACCTCTGCCTGCCCCTGGATTACACTATCATCCACTGCCTGCCTTGACCTCTGCCTGCCCCTGGATTACACTATTATCCACTGCCTGCCTTGACCTCTGCCTGCCACTGGATTACACTATCATCCACTGCCTGCCTTGACCTCTGCCTGCCCCTGGATTACACTATCATCCACTGCCTGCCTTGACCTCTGCCTGCCCCTGGATTACACTATTATCCACTGCCTATAAGAAAAATTAATAATAGCGCCTATGGTCAAAATTATATAACTTACTAATAGTGTACCAGCTGCAAAAAATCACCATATATAAAGTGTACCAATAAATAAATAATTTGCGCTAGTAAATGTGTATAAATATATAAAATATATATAAAGAAATCATCAAATCATAAGTCCAGAAAAAAATATATATATGCCAATACCACAAAAAAAAAATATAAAAAAACTTTTAAGTGCAAAAAACTTTTGTGCAAAAAAAGTGTCTAAATATGAAAAATTTCACCAAAAAACCTTGATAATATAATGGCAGATCATCCATAAATATATCTTCAGAAACGGAAACTCTGCAACACACCGATCCTCATCGATCGAAATAACAGGATGAAAAACTTTGTAGTTAATCGAAAATCCACTTCTCCAATAGATAAAGGACCACCTTCAAACGTATCCATGGGGGGAAATGCCAAGCACTCGAGAGAAACAGAAAGACTTCATGGTGCAATATTATAAAAAACCATTCCTTTATTAGGTACTCATTGCACTTACTCAAGAGGTGTCCCAGCCGACACCAGCATCAACAGCATAACAGCAATCACATAAACGAGCCTGGCTACTCAGCACATGCGCAGTAGCTGGCAGCCAAAAACGTAATGACGTCACATCAATCAAGCTCCGCCCTACGCGTTTCATCATCGACGTCCTCACGGAGCGGATAGATGTGAGACGTCTCAACCTCCTTAAATATTCACTCACAGGAAACGAACAGCTGACATCAATGGGGAATCAAGCAAAGCAAGCCGCCCCACAGATGACAGGAGTCCACAAAGGATATACAATGTATCCAATATATTTGCCATCACAAGCAAAAAAACTTTAAAACAAGAGAACAAAAATAAAATAAAAAGAAATTTAAATAAAACACTAATGATAAATAAATTAAATAAATAAATACATTAACGGGCCAGTACCCTCTAAGACTGTGTTTCAAAAAGGGAACTTAAAGGGCCAGTAACACTTTAAACACAAATAAAGGGGAACTCAAGTAATAATACAAAAATAATGCAGAAATTGTACAAAAAGCATACAATCTCCCATATATCATCTTTAAACAGTTGCCTATATAAAAATATACTTAAAATAACATAAAAATTAAAAATTAAAAATTTGTGAGAAAACAATTCAAATCTATATCGACATTTAACCCAAATGGTTGCAAGGAATTTAGTTCATAAATCCAAAACGTCTCTTTTTTGGAAATCTCATTAACCAAATCCGAGCCCCTCCAATGGGGTTTTACCATCTCGATCCCATAAAAGGGGCATCTGTGGGGCGGCTTGCTTTGCTTGATTCCCCATTGATGTCAGCTGTTCGTTTCCTGTGAGTGAATATTTAAGGAGGTTGAGACGTCTCACATCTATCCGCTCCGTGAGGACGTCGATGACGAAACGCGTAGGGCGGAGCCTGATTGATGTGACGTCATTACGTTTTTGGCTGCCAGCTACTGCGCATGTGCTGAGTAGCCAGGCTCGTTTATGTGATTGCTGTTATGCTGTTGATGCTGGTTTCGGCTGGGACACCTCTTGAGTAAGTGCAATGAGTACCTAATAAAGGAATTGGTTTTTATAATATTGCACCATGAAGTCTTTCTGTTTCTCTCGAGTGCTTGTGTCAGGGATCCCGGGTCCTCGGCGGTGCACGCATGCGCAGACGGCCGATCTGTCCCGGACGACGATCGCGGCGGCGGCCGCGCATGCGCAGTAGCGATCGCGGCCGCACCAATGGGAGAGCAGGGCGCTCT